TTCCCCACAGACGACGCCAAAATGATAGTGTTAATACACGTGGTCCTAAAGATAATCTACGCGATTTAACTCGATAACCGACCAGGTGCGGTCGGGCAGCTCTGGGTTAAATCTATCTGATCTTCCAAAAGTCCCCTTATTCAAGCTCTCAACGGATATTTATAGCTACGACCCTCCTCGGCATGTAACACACGCGTCATCCATGTGCCATTGCATCCAACCATCGCTCTGTCGGCTCTTCTCACTGACACGTGTCTTCTCGTTGTCATTATTACAAAGCATAGCGATCGGGAAAGTGGGTCGGGATGTCGGCCGGGTTGAACAACCGAGGCAAGAAACCGAGCGGAGAACCATACTTGTACTGACAACGGCTGGCTGATGCACACGTGGAGATGTATGTCGGTCGGGATTTATCCTACCAATATATATATATATGGAAAATTGTAAAAAATGCCCCTCTATAATTGACCAATTATCAATGTTACTCCTGAATTATGAGGGTTGTAAATGTTGCCCCTCAATTATTAAAATGGTGCACTTATAACCCCTCCGGTAACGGATCTGTGAATTCCCGTTAGTCAATGGCGTTATATGAGGGTAAATATGTAATTGCATTATTTTTCCTTTTTTTCTTTTTATATTTTTCGTTTGTTTCTTTTAACCTTTTTACCAAAAGCTTTTAACCTTTTCCTTTAACCCATTCGACAAAAGATACAGACAAACAGATTACATTACTTCCTTTAACCCATTCGACGATTGAAGGACACGAAGCCGAAGCCGTCGCCGACATTAAGCTTTTCTTCCGTTCGTGTGTTCGTTCGTCGACAACAAGTATAAAACTTCTTCTTACTGTCTTCTTCTATTCTTGGTGAAATTATTCAAAACCCTAACCCTATCTTAAATTCTCATTTAGTACAGAGTAAATTGGTAGGAAACCGAAGGTTGGAGTATGCGATAATGACTAGTCGAAGGCTATCTGGACTAACTGCTACACCCAGATGTAAGTATTAAATTGAATAGTAATACTTTAATAGGATTTCGAAGATTGTTATCTGACTTGTCATAAATGGTTGTACTATAATAGTAGGGACCCCTTAATAGTTTGTTGTTCTCTGGTTTGTATTATCATTTACTGAACATGTGTGATGGTTATCTGGATTCTCCCATGTGTGTAGGTCCCAACATTGTGTGAATTAAGCAATTTTTTATTCTGCCCAGATTAGTGCTGTTTTTGTGGTCCCCAATACTGTGTGTTGCCAATAAACATGTCGATTTAGTGAAATTGAGCTTTGTTTTTGTGGTCCCCAGTAGTTTGACTTGAAATTAATGTACTTATATGCTATTTCTTTACTGTCAGATGATGAGGTTGGTATGTACACTCTCAAACTGTATTATGGTGGAGATCTAATGCTAAAACCTAGAGTTGAATATAAGAATGGTAGAATTGAGTATTTTGACAAATTCTCTGGTGAAGAAGGTAGTATTTTAGAATTAAGAAAACTGGTGAAAAGTTTAAAGTTTTGTGATAAGAAGGTGAAGTTTTGGTTTAAATGTGGTTCTAAGAGTTATCCTAAAGTGAGACAGATTAAAACTGATGCTGAACTGTTGAGTGTCATGTATGAAATTCCCAAAAATAAAGAGGTTGAAATGTATGTAGAACATCTAGAAGATGACCAGTGGGACTATGAGGTACATGCAGATGGGTACATTTCAGATGAGTTATGGGTAGAATCTGAACATGATGTTGTTCCATTACAAGATTGGGAATTTGAAGTTGGTGAAGGTTCTAATAATGGTAGGACTTTAAAAGACAATGTGAATGTGAATGCTACTGTGAATGTGATTGCTTCTGAGAATGCTACTGCGAATGCTTTTGTGAATGTGAATCCTTCTGTGAATGCCTCTGAGAATGCTACTATGGATGGTAATGTTACTGAAGTTAGGGTGTCTAAAATCAGAAAAAAACAAACAAAAAGTTTTAGATAATGGGGAAGAAAATGATTTTGTCCATTCTGAAGAAGAGTTGAGGAGTTTGTGTTCATCTGACTCAGAGTTGGAGCTATCTAAGCCATCAAATGTTTTTCATGAAAAAGATCTTGAAAAAGAAGGATTCAAGTTTGTTGTTGGCATGATATTTAATAGTAATGATGACTTCAAATGGGCTGTAAAATGTCACCAAGCACTTAGGAAAAGAGCCATCAAATTTACTAAGATTGAACCTGCTAGAATTACTGTTGTATGTAAGGATGACAACTGTAAATGGAAGATGTATGCTTCAAAGAGTAATTCTAGGAGTCTACTGAGCATTAAAATTTATAATTCAGACCACACATGTGCTATTCAAAATGACATTAAGACTGTGAATGCTGGTTTTCTTGCTAAGTACTATCAAGATGAGTTCAAAACTGCTGATGATTCATTTAGTAGAATTCAGTTTCAACAGAAAGTGAAGAAGAAATTTAATTCTGTCATAAGTAAACATCAATCATGGAGGGCCAAGAGGTTGGCACATAAGGAAATATATGGGGATGATCACAATCAATTTGAAAAGCTTTGGGATTACTGTGAGGAGTTGAAGAAAAGCAATCCAGGGACAAGTGCAAAAATGAAAGTTGATGGGGATTACACAATCAATGGTAGTTCAAGGTTTATGAGGTTGTATATTTGTTATACAGCATGTAGAGAGGGATTTCTAGCTGGTTGTAGACCTTTCATTGGGTTGGATGGATGCCATTTAAAGGGGTTCCAAAAGGGGGGTCAATTACTAACTGCAGTTGGTGTTGATGCAAATAATGCAATGTTTCCAATTGCATTTGCCATTGTAGAAGGAGAACTTAAAGAGACATGGGCATGGTTTTTGGACTTGTTAGACGAAGATTTGAAAATTTCAGAAAAGCCTAATGCTTGGACCATCATCTCAGACAAGCAAAAAGGTTTGTTGCCTGCTGTGGAGGAAAAACTGTCAGGGGTAGAACATAGGTTCTGTGTGAGACATATGCATGCTAATTTTGTTAAAGATGGATTCTCTGGGCAGTTGTTAAAGCAGAAATTGTGGGCAGTTTGTAGAGCTACTACTGTACCTAAATACTTGACTAGAATGGAAGAGTTGAGGAAGCTCAATCCCAAAGCAGCTGATTGGGTTACTGCTAGGGAACCACACCATTACTGCAGGGCTTTCTTTAGCTCTTTTCCAAGCTGTGATATTCTCTTAAACAACCTGTGTGAATCATGGAATAGTTCAATCTTACAGTTTAGGGACAATGGAATTCTGACAATGTGTGAAAACATTAGGGTCTATCTAATGGTGAGGATGCAAACAAATAGAGATACCATGAAGAAACATCCTTTGAATATCTGTCCCAAGATAATGAAGTTGGTAGAAGAGGCCAAAGACAAGTCCAATGATTGCACTGCCTATAGGTCAAAGGATGATGTCTATGAAGTAGAAGATTGCTATGGAAGGAAATATAAAGTGGATTTAGGTCAATATCAATGCTCTTGTAGAAGATGGGATCTCACAGGTATGCATTTTCTCTATTTTGCTAATTATATTTAGACATAATGAATATATACTAAAATATTAATTACTGTCCACAGGAATCCCTTGCAGCCATAGCATTGCAGCCATTAGGAAGAAAGGAGGCACTCCAGAAGAATATGTTAACAAGTGTTATAGTGTGGAGTCTTATCTGAGATCTTATGAACCAGCCATACTACCAGTTACTTCCTCAGAGTTATGGCACAAGACAGGTCTCCCACCCCCATTGCCACCCAAATATAAAGCACAACCAGGAAGGCCAAAAAAAAGAAGAAGAATAGGACTGGAAGAATCAGCTGCAAATCAAAGTGGAAACAAGGGAAAAGTTGGTGAATTGAAAAGGTGTACTGTGTGCGGAAGGAAAGGCCATAACAAAAGAAGATGTGAAGTTAAAAACCAGCAGGTTAGAAGGGGAAATTTAGTTTAAAAGTGATATTAAATAAACATGTAAAACCTGATTTTTGCAAATAAAACTGTGCAGGCAGGTGAGGAAGAAGCAGAAGCAGAAGCAGCAATAGGAGCAGGGCAAGAAGTGGAAGAACATGATGTTGTTGTTGAAACTCAAGTTCCAACATCTGTACTAGATGAAATGGTAAACAGTCTTTGCTAGATGAAATGTATTATTGAACATGACTATACTGTAAACAGTTTTTGCTAAATTATATCTACAACAAATGTGCAGGCCATGATGAATTCTCAACCAAGTCAGAATGTTGGAAATCCTGGCCCTCAAGTATCATATTTCATTTCGTCACACATGGAACAGCTTCCAACACCAGACAATGTCATTAGGAAGGGGGGAAAAGAATTTGTTACTTTGTCAACTCTACAGAAGAAGAAGATAAAGGTGTCCTAGCATAACAACAAAAAGCAGTCTTAAATTAGATAAAGGTGTCCAAGTAGTTTTGTATTTTGTGGTGAAAGTAGATGAATGCACATCTTTTGGTGAATTATGCCTAACTTTGGCAGTTTTTTGTGATTAAATTAGATGAATGCTTAACTTTGGCAGTTTTTTTTTTTTTTGTGCTTTAGATGAATTCTGCCAAACTTTTGCAGTATTGAGTACTTTTGTAATTGGGCAGAATCAACTCTACTTATGCATTTTGTGCTTTTGATGAATTATGCACAGCTTCTTATGATCCTTTGTGACTTTTTGCAGAATTTTGTGTTTTTTTTTACTATTTGCTTTTTGGCAGTATTTTGTGACTTTTGCACTTTTGTCTCTTATTTGATTTTGGACAGCACATTGTGCTTTAGAACAAGGCTTTTTAAACAAGATTATTAGACAACAACATGAACAAGAAAGCATAATATGAAAATCACCATAAACAACTTCACTTCACTTTTCATTCAAATACAAAATAATATACACAATCACCTAGACACCTATTACAGTTTCATTTTGATCTAGTCTCTAATTTGTAGCAAACACCAATCACTTCATACAAAATACAAAGTGGATTTATTTCAACTGTAATATACCATCACCTGCAATAACAGATTCCCACAGCCCTTTCAAAATTAAGGGAAGTATTAATCCTACACTTAATCCCCCCCAAAAAAGCATATTTCTCCCTCTTTGGTTATTCAAAGAAAATTCCAGCCTAGTAATCTTTACTCTCAGTTGCTGCACCTCAAGCTCCTTCTTTTCCATCTCAATTTCAAGTTTCTGGAATTCAATCTGATGCTTATCCAATCGTTTAAGTAGTCCTCTGATCAATTGTGCTACTCGCTCATTCACATCAAAATCTAACCACTGGAAAAAACGACAACTTCCATGCCCCTGCAATTATCCCAACACACTAAATTTAGGGTTTATTCATAATTATTTTAAAATGAACATTTTCAATCACAATTACTTACACCATATCGTTGACATGCTCGATATCTCTTTCCTGGATTCGCATAGCTCCAAGACATTTTGACTGGTGCAAGAAGACCACAATGACAACGTATCTCCTCCATTGATGAACATGAAAAGCTTTGGCTTACCCCAGACATGTCTTTAAGCAAAATCCCATGTTCTATTAATTAGGGTTGTTAAGGAGAAGAGAAGAAGAAACTAAGAAGAAGGACAAACCTGGTTGTCGGTGGCCGGAGAATAGAAACGGAGATTAGAGGCCGGTCGTAGCAGGTGCGAGCTCTTCGATCGGTGACAGTCTCAATGCAGAGGGGAAATGGAAATTATAAAAAGAAAAAAAGGAAAAATAATGCAATTACATATTTACCCTCATATAACGCCATTGACTAACGGGAATTCACAGATCCGTTACCGGAGGGGTTATAAGTGCACCGTTTTAATAATTGAGGGGCAACATTTACAACCCTCATAATTCAGGAGTAACATTGATAATTGGTCAATTATAGAGGGGCATTTTTTACAATTTTCCCTATATATATATATATATATATATATATATATATATATATATATATATATATATACATATTCTTAATGTATAGTATTATTAGTACAAAATTAATTATACTTGCTTTAATAATTAATTATTAATATTATTGTCTAATAATTATGTATTGTCACCTTTTTGGTGTAATTATTATGGTAATTTATATACATATATATATATATATATATATATATATATTTATTTATTTATTTATTTATTTATTTATTTATTTATTTATTTATTTATTTATAATTAATGTATAATAAAATAAATTATACTTACCTTTAATATAAATTAATTTTTAATATAATTTCCTAATTTTTATTAAAGGTAATTATTTTATCATAATTTTTCTTTCCTTATTTTGTGTAATTATTATGGTAATTGTATGGTAATGTATTTAAATATTGGAAGAGAACAAACATTATAATTAATATAATTAATGAGATTATTATGGTAATTGTCACAATATTTGGTAATTATAATTAATATAATTAATGAAATTGAGAAATATAAGATTTCTTCCGTAGAAATATTTGTGACAATTTCATTAAATTATAATTAATAAAATATAAAATATAATTAAATAAATGAAATTATAAAATTAACAAAACATGAATATTTATAATTTTTTAAATATACATACATACACTTATGCGCTATAATAATTATACAAAATTTAAATGCTACTTTTTAAATTTCTAAACATAATTTTTAATTATAAATCTATCAAAATAAATTATAATTAATGAAATTATATTATAGAATTTTCCTATATACATATAAGGAAATGCGTCCGATTAGAGTTTAAATTTATTAATACAAAATTTAGAATTTATATTTTTTATTGATTTCTAAGTACAATTCTCTTAGTTATTATTATTCATATTTTTAGAATTATAATATATATGAAATACAATTTGAAATAAATCAACTTAATTATATGAAATTTTTAAATAATTCAAATATGTGAACCAATGATTTCAAAATGAAATTAATATACATTTACAAATAAATATAGCATGATTAGATTTACTTTAATTAGTTTTATTTCATTAATGAAATGACTTTTCTTTATCAGTTTTTTATGGGAGACTAAGGGAGTGTTTGGATTGCTGGAAAATATTTTAAAATAAAAATACATACTAATAAAAATAATTTAAAAATATTTTTTAACCCTTCATAACATCTGTAAATCTTATATTTTAAAAAAAAAATACAATTTGATAAATATCATAATTTCTATTTATAATAATTAAAGAAAAGTAAATAATTCAAATATGTGAACCAATGATTTCAAAATAAAATTAATATATAGTTACAAATAAATATAGCATGATTGGATTTACTTTAATTAGTTTTAATTTTCTTAATGAAATGACTTTTCTTTATCAGTTTTTAATTAGAGATTACGGGAGTGTTTAGGTTGCTGGAAAATATTTTAAAAATAAAAATACTTACTAATAAAAAATAATTTTAAAATATTTTTTAATCCCTAAACATGAGAAAATTTTATATTTAAAAAAAATACAATTTGATAAATATCATAAATTAATTATTGCAATATCATTTATGTTTATAATGACAATAATTAAAGAAAATATAAATAATTCAAATATGTGAACCAAAGATTTCAAAATGAAATTAATATATAATTACAAATAAATATAGCATAATTAGATTTACTTTAATTAGTTTTAATTTTTTTATGAAATGACTTTTCTTTGATCAGTTTTTGATTAAAGACTAAGGGAGTGTTTAGGTTGTTGGAAAAAAATTTAAAAATAAAAATAATTTTAAAATATTTTTTAACCCCTAAACATGCAAAAATTTTATATTCTAAAAAAGATACAATTTGATAAATATCATAAATTAATTATTGCATGCGATGGAGAGAACGGAAAACTTGTCTTCCAAGCGATCATCCGAAGATCTGGATCTCTTGGTCCGAAGCACGAAGAAGCCCAAAAGGGCTGAGATCGTGCAACTAGTGCCTACGGTAAGCGATAACGGTGGAGAACAGAGCATGGGCGAAGTGGAGATAGTGCAGGAGACACCGGATGATGCGATGGAGGAAGCGGCTGCCTGGCCTGCGCCGTTGGATCAGACTGGGACGTCGACGACGCCACCTGCGTTAGCTCCGGAGTCGATCCAGGTGGTAGTTGCGCCGTGGAGGACGTACGCGGAAAGTGTGGTCGGACGGTGCAGTGAGAGCCTGGATGCGCATCACGACACCTCTGACCAAGAAACTGACTGCGATGACATTGAAGCAGAGGGGAATGACGACCCCCTCTGCCCCACGATCAGGCTAACCAAGAAGGAAGTGGAAGCGATCCGGGCACCCTGGCGCTCGGCTCTGATTGTTAAGGTGTTGGTCGTCGGGTAGGGTATGCGTACCTCCTCCGGCGACTCACATCTATGTGGAAACCGAAAGGCAACCTGGAGCTAATCGCCATAGCCAACGAATACTTCCTGGTGAGATTCAGTTCGATCGACGACCTCGAGTTCGCAATGTACGAAGGCCCTTGGATGGTTTTAGATCACTACCTGATCATGAAGCCCTGGGAGCCGGACTTCGATCCCTACAATGATGCCACGGAGAAGATTCTGGCCTGGGTAAGAGTTCCTAGCCTACCTGCGGAATATTATAACTCTATTTTTCTCAGGAAATTAGGCAATCGCATCGGCCGGATAGTTGGTGTTGATCAGGCGACGAGCCAAGTGTCTCGCGGCATGTTCGCCCGTTTCTGCGTTGAGCTGGACATGAGAAAGCCGTTGGTCTCTAAATTCACATATGCGGGGAAAGTCAGGTACGTAGCTTATGAAGGCATGCACATGGTGTGTTTTGCATGTGGCTTATATGGGCATGAGAAGGAAGCATGCCTGGATTGGAAGCGTTCATCGCCAGCGGCTGACGGCGACATGGCCGGAAATGTGGAGGCGGAGAATTCCGGTGGCCCGTCGAAGATCGTGCGGCAGGACCCTACCGTAAAACCCGAAGCTCTGGACCCTAAGGTCCCTTTTGGATCTTGGATGCTTGCACCGACAAGGAGGGGGCGACCAGCCTCGAGGAAGCCCGACAATATTAATAAACTTACGGCTGGACAGAAGGAGCGCAGTGCAAATCGTAATGAGATGGTGGCTCAGGCATCGAAATTCGCACTTCTGGCAGAGGATAATGACGTGGACAATAAAGCTGTATAGGTTTTAGATACGGGTAAGAAGGCTTTTGAAGATGTGAGTGAGGAACATATTGGTGAAGAAGGCAGAGATATAGCCAGGCAGTCAGTTACTCCGGTAGTAGGGGGAGCGCGAACACGGAGGCCAAATGTCATTGCTAGGGAAAAACAGATTCAGAATGAACCCTTTATGGCGTAGGGATCAAATGCAGGGGTGGACGCTCCAAGACCACGAATGCAATCTGGGGGTAGATCAAGGAAGGCGGCGGAAGAGGATGAACATGACGTGGTGCGAGGGGCGCAAGGCGATTTGGTAATAAGGTCCACGCGGGTGTATGTTGGTGACACTGGTGGTGCCGCCCCATCACCAGTTTGGCACCATCATATGGAGCATCACGGTGATCCACCGGAGCAATTTGACGACGAGGGAGATATTGTCATGGACCTCGATGGGGTCCCGGCGCAGCACGAGACAGGAGGTAACGGGGTAGCCCAACTTTGAGCCACCCCGATTTTGGTTTTGGTTTTTGGTTTTTGGTTTTTGGTTTTTGGTGTTTTGTGTTGCTTGATTTTGCTTGTTTGGCTTTGGTTTTCTTCCCTTTCCCTTTTTAGTTTTCATGATATCGTGCATGTTTTGGAATTGCCAGGGCGCGGGTGGCAAGCCGTTCCTACGCGTCCTTAAGCACCTCATTAATTCGTATAAACCAGGCATCGTGAGCCTTTTTGAACCTAAAGTCTCGGGTGGCCAAGCGAATGATATTTGCACAAAAATTGGCTTCTCGAACTGGATTAGAGTGGAAGCAGTCGACTTCAGTAGTGGTATCTGGGTTTTCTGGAAAGATCCGATGCAAATCTCAGTTCTTCGAACTCACCCTCAATATGTTTTAATGCAGGTATGCATGCTAGGCCAAACGCCATGGTACCTCGCATCGGTTTATGGAAGTCTGGCACACCATCTGCGCCGGAGGCTTTGGAATGATTTGCGTCAAGTAGAACGTGGTTTTTCGGGACCTTGGCTCGCAGCGGGGGACTTTAACACAGTCCTCAACAAAGATGAGACGAGCAACTATAGCTCGTTCTCATCTTACAGAAGTGCGGATTTCGGAACCTGGATCCAGGATGAAGGGCTCATTGACCTGGGGTTCACAGGGGCCAAGCTTACGTGGGTAAAGAACGGTAATGCAGAGTCCATCAAAGGAGCACGGCTGGATCGGGCCCTTTGTAATACAGAATGGCGTACAAGGTTCCCAGGTGCAAAGGTTACTCACCTAGCTCGCATTGCTTCTGATCATGCTCCTTTATTTTTGCATGTTGATGGGGAAAGACAAAAGGTCCCCCGTGCACCCTTCGTCTTTCAGGCAGCCTGGCTTACTCACACGGGCGTAAACGAAGTAGTTGAACGCGCCTGGAACTCAGACAGAGGGGTCCTGGAGAATACCCGGCGAGTGGCCAGCGAGCTAGCCACCTGGAATATGGAGTCTTTTAGAAACGTGTTCAAACATAAAAGGGTGTTGATGTCCAGAATCAGTGGTATTCAAAAGGTGTTGGCAGGGGCCTACCACAAAGGCCTTGCTAAGCTCGATCTCAAACTCAGGGAGGAGCTCGAGACCGTCCTCCACTAGGAGGAGTTAATCTGGTTTCAAAAATCTAGGGAAGAGTGGATTACCTTCGGGGACAGGAACACGGCTTTCTATCATGCAGCGGCAACGATTCGCAGATCTAGAAATTCTGTCCATGGGCTTAAGAATGACTATGGCGTGTGGCTTACGGAGGAGAAGGATCTTCGGGACCATATCCAAGAGTTCTACATCAATCTCTTCTCAATTGAGCCGAGCGAGGGTAATGTTACTAATCTGGGAGCTCAATTCCCCCGCCTACGCAGGTCGGATTGGATTTGTTTTAACAGGGCGGTCTTAAAAGAGGAGGTCCATCTAGCTCTTAAGGATATGAAACCTTTCAAAGCCCCAGGCCCCGATGGCCTACAAGCAGGTTTCTACCAGCATATGTGGGACGTAGTAGGGGACGACGTTTTTCTCTTGGTAAAAGAGGCATTCGCGACCGGCACCCTTCCGGAAGGCCTAAATGAAACCCTCATTGCCCTGATCCCAAAAGTCAAGGACCTGGAAAGTATAAAGCAATTTAGGCCCATCAGTTTGTGTAATGTGATCTACAAAATCGTCACGAAGACCATCACCAATCGCCTGAAGAGAATCCTTCCAAAGATAGTAGGCCCTTTCCAAAGCTCGTTTGTACCTGGACGTCAAATTTCGGATAATGTCCTAATCTTTCAGGAAGTTATGCACACAATCCGTGAAAAGCAGGGAGCGAAGGGGTATATGGCAATCAAACTTGACCTAGAGAAAGCATATGACCGTCTATCGTGAAGTTTCATTCAGGATACCCTAGAATGGGCGAGCTTCACTTCACCTTTAAAGGACCTCATGATGACTTGCATCCGAACTCCCCGCCTTTCAATTATCTGGAATGGGGAGCGTTTGGAACCTTTCTATCCGAGCCGAGGCATTAGACGGGGTGATGCCATGTCACCAGTAATTTTCATTTTATGCATGGAGAGATTGAGCCAACTGATTGTTACTGAGGCCAACAGGCAAAAATGGAAAGGTATCAAACTTGTTTCTAATGGACCAACACTAACACATCTTTGTTTTGCAGATGACATGGTTCTTTTCACGGAGGCTACGAGTGAGCAGGTCGAGGTGGTCAAGGATTGTCTGGACCGTTTCTACGGGGCCTCGGGCCAGAAGATAAGTCTGAACAAATCCCAAGTCTTTTTCTCGAAGAATACGGAATCAGGGCTGGCGGATGAAATTTCCAATCAGTTAAATATTGCCCATACGACCGATCTGGGAAAATATTTGGGTGTGTCGTCGTTTCACGGTAGGATCACCTGTGCCACCTTCGCGGGCCTCCTTGAAAGGATCTCAAGCCGTCTTGAAGGATGGAAAGCGAAGACGTTATCTTTAGCAGGACGGGTGGTGCTAGCCAAATCTGTTCTCAACGATGTCCCAGTCTACACTATGCAAACTACTGCATTGCCCAAGAGTGTTTGTATGGAAATTGAAAAGAGGACGAGAAGCTTCATCTGGGGTGGAAGTAGCACGGCGCGCAAGATGAGCCTAGTGAACTGGGAACTAGTGATGACGGCAAAGGATGCTGGTGGCCTAGGAGTTAAGCGGCTCACTGAGTTGAACTTGGCCTATATGTCAAAACTTGGTTGGCGCCTCAAGACAGAAGCTGAAAGTTTGTGGGCACGGACACTTAACACAAAGTACGGCGTATCAGGCGACATTTCGAGTCATCATCCTGGCAGACGCAAAACATCGAACGTGTAGCGTGGCATCCTTGCGGCTGCGGACTTTGTTAAGGAAGGATCGAGACAAATTGTTAGAAATGGGAGATCAACCAAATTTTGGATGGACAAATGGATTATGCCAACTCCTTTATATGATTATCTGGGCACACCGCTCGCCCTCCCAGACCTTTATGCGAATGTAAGAGATTATAGGGAAGATCATCGTGGCTGGAAATGGGAGCATCTGAACAACATCCTGCCGGACGAGATTAAGCAACGTGTTGGTCCCGATAGGGTGGTGAAAGTCTAGAGGGGGGGGTGAATAGACTTTCAAGCTTTTTCAAATTAAATAACTCTTCGGTAACTTCAACTCTAAGTAACAAGTAAATAGAGCAAGTTTGTACTGCACAGCGGAATAATAGTAAAGAGTTATGCCCAACTAGTAAATTAAGTGTGCAAGTATAAGTAAGATAGGTACAAATGATATGTAAAGTGACAGAGATATCTTGAATATATAAAGGAGATGGTGCACTCAATATATAATAACAATATTCAAGATTGTAAATAAATATCGTGTCACGTCGTCCGTGTGACGAATGTTACATGCAGCACGTCAAACTTGCTTAGAATAAATTAGTATTTAAGCTCGAGAAGTTTGAGTCACATGCATACGTGAGAACACACTAAACCCGGATGATTAAGATTAACTGTGGATAGTAAACGGGTTAGTCGGATGAGATAGATAGATATAGCAAATAATGTAAGTGCGGTATGTAAATGAGAGAGACAATTTATAGTGGTTCGGAAGTGGCGTAATCTTCCTAGTCCACTTTTCTCCTTTCACGTCTAGGAGAAATTCACTATTTTCCACACACAGTTACAATAGTGAACAAGTGCTACACAGGCACTTCTTCCGGATGTCTTGCACACAGCTACACCCTGCTCCGAGTGTCTCGCACACAGCTACACTCAACTCCGAGTATTTCGCACACAGCTATACTCAACGCCAACTAAGTGTCTTGCACACAGCTACACTTAGCAACTACGAGTGTTTTGCACACAGCTACACTCACTAGAGTATTTTGCACACAGCTATACTCTTTCTACAATTTACAAATACAAGGATTTGTATTTCTCTCTCCAACTAGATTTGAGACTATTCAGACTAAGTCTCTTAGAATATTTTGAGCACTAGCACTTTTGAATTTTGCACTTGTATTGCACTTCTATCTCGTTCACCTCTGCTCCCCACACACTTTGTCTTCAAGTCTTCATGGCTTTTTATAGTCAATCAAATATATCCGTTGGAGTGGGATAATTTGATATTTGAAATTTGAATCTTCATAGCCTGATATTGTTGACAATAGTAGGTCTTCAATTTTGATTTGATTGTCAACTTGCCTGACAAAGTAATTCTTTAGCACAACTTTGATTTTCTAGTTGTTTCTAAAAATATTACTTTAATTGTCAATTTGAATATCCAACGAATCTTTGAAATAAATTCATCTGATAGAATTTATTTCTAGGATAAGTTTTTATATTCATGCCTTCATAAATATTTTTCCGTTCTGATCAAATGTCTTTCAGGCAATTTTGGAGTCTTGTGGCATGTGGGTGGACTTGGAGTAAATTCCTTCGAATTTATCCAATTTCTGATCATCTTGCTCTTTTGCCACATTGTGCTCCTTTGACTTGAACATCGTGCTCCTTGACTTTGAACATTGTGCTTCTTTCGATACATTGTGCTCTTCTGACAACATTGTGCTTCTTAGACAACATTGTGCTTCTTAGGTGACATTGTGCTCTTCTGACAGCATTGTGCTTCTTAGGTAGCATTGTGCTCTTCTGACAGCATTGTGCTTCTTAGGTGGCATTGTGCTCCTTTCAGATTTGGTCACATTGTGCTCCTTTCAGATTTGGTCACATTGTGCTCCTTTAGTAAGCATCGTGCTCCTTCGGACACATTGTGCTGCTCTTTTGAACACATCGTGCTCTTTTAAAATCTGCCTTATAAAAAACATAGGTCCTTGGGGGGAATCAATCTCAGGTGTGATCGTTTAGAGTAAGGACCTCTACCATTTCACCGTTAGGCTCATCCAATCATTCTTTGCAACGCCATTACTTTATGCTTCTTTCACGGATGAATACTCGTAGGACCAAAATTAATTTCTCAAATTAATTTTGTTCTTCCTATGGTAGATTCCTTCTGATTTCAATATTCTGATTTATGATGTTTGTACTAAAGACTTAAAAACTAAGGGGATCTAAAGATACATTTGGCTCATCAAAACTTACAAAAATATTCCTATCAATTTTCCCCCTTTTTGATGACGCCAAAACCTATACTCAGTCATTTGGCTTGTCTTTTAAAACAATTATTTTTCAAAAGATTTTATTTTCATTGACATAGCCAAGATGAGTTTAACAAATGATTTTGACTCTAGGAAAGGTATTTTTAGCCACTATATTCCTATTTCGCATTTTTGGAATTTTAATGATAATGAATTTTTGCATTTTTCCAATTCATGCGATTTGATACACTCTAAGCTAAAAATATTACCTTTCAAGACAAATAATAAAATTAAGAAACAACTTAATAGCATCATAAACAGATAATTCAAATCATTCCAAATTGTTTCATGGGTTCATGTACCCGTGGACCACAAAAAATTGTACCAATCATACAAATCATCTAATCACTTTGTTTCTCTTTTCCTTGAGCACATTGTTAATATGGTTCTGAACATCAACGAAATTGTCACTAATGGCAAAGTTGTTGCATACCTGCCCAACTGAATAGTAGTTGAAAGCTTCAGTGATGTTGCTCCCGGGCAGTATACCTTCCTCATACCATATGATGCACTCTTCTAGACTTTTTCCATCTTGTAGCTCGGCATCATTGACTTTGATGTAGTCCCTTAGAACCATAATCATCAAGGCTCTAGCATAGCTTTGAATTCTTCTGAAATTTTCACTTGAAACCCACATGTTTTGATCACTAGGACCACTTTTCTTCATTCCTTTTGGTAGATCATTCAAAGTCACCAACTTTGGCATTTCAACTCTACCATCTCTCGGTGTGGATTCCAAATAAAGAGCTGCACGGTTGTACCAATTTATTTGCTCAATGTTTCCTCCTGCACAAACAATATCACGAAAAGAACGGTTAGTGGTATTTGCACTGCTTGATCCTCCTGGACTGCCAGCTTCACCACCACCGAACCAATACTCTAATCCTCCTCTTCTTGGTGCATTTCTTCCGCAGATCTGCCTCCTCCACCTCTACTACTGCTTGTGCCAACATTTCTGCTAGCCATGGCAGTCATCATCATCTCAATCATGCTCTCCAAATGACTGAATCTCTCTTCCCCCTTTTTGGCGTAATCAAGAAGTGTATGAACCGATTCACGAAGAGATGAAATGGATTCGGAAATATTCTCATAAGAACCCCGAAGACAGCCCACTTTGGTGTTAACTGAGATGAGATCCGTGTGGACATCACTAATCTGCTTTTCATGTTGATGAACAACATTGAGAATACCTTGGCTTTGGCTCACGGCAATTGCTTCATTTGCCTTTCCAGAATTCTTGAGGATTTGGGAAAGTTGGATATAGAACTCATTGAGTTGCCCTTTGACATTGTTATTCAAACTTCCAACTTGTCTTTCAAGTGCTTGGTGGGTATCAATCAAATGTTGTTGACTTCTCCGATTTTCATCAAAAAATGCTTCGAATTTTCCACCTTGAATATTGACAACTTGATCCACATGAGTGTAGATCCCTTGAAACATGCTCTCCATTCGGTCAACAAGGCTTAAGACAACATTCTCCAGATTTTTTAATTTCTCATTTGTAGGTGTGCTATCAAGTTCTTGTTCTTCTCGGGATGAGGGAAAACACCTTGCTCCTTCTTGAGCAAAATTGGCTTCAAGCATGTGAGATTGAGCTTGATTTTCCACTAGATTTCCTTCCCTTTCCGGAGTGTGTAGCACGTGAGTGTCACCATGTGCACTTTCTGCATTAATAGATTGAATTTCCTCCGTATGTTGACTAGCTTGCATGGCATTTTGG